ATCCGTAGCCCCTTGACGATGGGATGGCAATCTGAGTTTGGTCTTTCCAGAATTACTGGAAAGGCACTGAAGAGAACTGGTTGATTTTATAATACATTCTCTTCTTACACCTTTTACCGTAGTAGGAATTGTTAGCAGGTTAATCTTGGGAATGAAATGGGCATAAAGGCCCAGGTAAATAAATAAGTTAGGAATCAGTTGTCTGTAAGAAGAGGCATGTGAGCAAAAAAAGGACCAAAGTCTTTCTCCAGTAAAAATCAAGTCAGTGTCTCATAGCAGATAGAAATGAACTCTCGTCCTCGTATTTGAAAGTTGCACAGTGTGACTTGTCTCCTGTGTTCAGGAATTATAATGAGCTGAGATCATCATAATAGGATTTTTGATGGATTATATACAATCAAGTCAGTGTTGACTTTTAGTGACCACAGAGATAGATTTGCTCCAGGACAATCTGTTCCCAGCCTGGTCCTTCAGCTATTTCAATGGTGCCCCCATCGCTACTGTCACTGAGTCCCTCCACCTGGCTGCTGGTCCTCCTCTTCTCTTTCCTTCCACTTTCCCAGCATTATGGATTTTTCAAAGAACCTGGGTCTTTGCATTGATTGATTGATTATGCTCTATCAAGTGAGTTTCGACTCTTAGTGGAAGAGATGGACCTTTTCCAGGATGATCTGTCCCCAACCTGGTCTTTCAGGGCTTCTAACGCCCTTAACTGAGTCCCTCCACCTGGCTGCTGGTCGTCCTCTTCTTCTCTTTCCTTCCACCTTTCCCAGCATTAGAGCCTTCTCAAGACAGCAAGATCTTTACATCATGTGTCCGGAGTAGGATAAATTGAGCCTGGTCACTTGTATTACATTGCATTGTTTATAATCCAAGATTATAAACAGTCTTAAATAAAACCCTCCCTCTTAAATTGTTCTGAGACATCATCTGGAGGAACAAACGCTGGGCAGGAAACTATGAACAACTTCCCTAATGACTGTATCTATTAATTTAAACATACATTCATAAATATTTCAAAATCATTTTCTTTCCTAATTTAAACAATAAAAAACCCTTGGGAGATACAACAATTTCCACCCACATTTTAACAGCTGTAGGGTAGGAGCGCCTTTAGAAGCTCCCAAACTTGCTAGAATGTCCGAACTAAACATCTGGGCGAAAAAGATAAGGGGGGAAAGGGCGGGACCGAAACATAGTCGCAGTTTTACAACTCAAAGCGATTCTCGCGTCTTGCAGAAGAGTCCTCCCCGGCTGCCCCGGCAGGCGCGTCCCCAAAGCCCCCAAGCGGGGGGCCGGGGAGGCTCCCGCCCCTGCGACTTCCGAGGACCAGCCTTGCCGCCAGGCGCCCGGGGCAGGGGGGGCCGGGGGGCGCAGGGTCCTTCCAGCCGGCTCTGCGGACGCGGGCGAAGAAAGCGGAGCGAGGAGTTTTACC